CGCTGCCTCTGTGCCTGCGGGAGGGGTGCAGGTGGACGGGGTAATTTTTCAAATCTGTTAGAAGCCATTTGCATGAGACTTCCGAGCGACGAGAATGAGCAACCTGGTTTGCAATGCGTGCGAGCCAGCTACCCGGCGTGGTGTGCGGTGCCCGGGCGTAACTTCACCTCCCTCGGGCGGTGCTGGGAGCTCAGGCAGTCCCCGGAGCCTGCGCAAGCCGACGTTTTCCTGCCTCTTCCCGGTGTTCCTCGGGCATCGGGGCAGCAGCTGTGTCCGGGCACCCGCCTATTCCCCGTCCCCAAGGGTGTGCGGGTGGGTGGCAGTCCTGCTGCTTTCTTAGGGTAGTGTGAGGTCTTATTTCTGGCTTCAGAAGCAGCTGGAAGAAGGAATTTGAACATCTCTCAGCTGATGTTTGATACATGAGATGTAACCTCTGCTTTCCTTTCCCTTCCTCTCCCAAATTCGCAAAGTTTCCCACTCGTGGGGCACGCCGCGTATCCCCCTGCCACGCGGCACCGCCTCCCGTGCTCCCTCCGGTGCGAGTGGGGCTTGGGGCGGGAGGTTTGCTGGAAGCTGGTGAGCGTGAACGCGGGGAGAGGGGACGGAAGCACCGTGTCTGTTGGGTGCGAGGCAGATTGCACCGTCTGAGCCCCGGCGTTTGTCAAGGCCTCCGCTGGCCCGTGCCGTATCAGCAGAGGTATCGCTAGCATTCGCTGAGGCTGGCAGCGTTTCAACAGCTGTTAATCCTCTTTGTATCTGTAAGCACTGTGACCACTGACAAGCTTCTGTACTCTGAGGTGTCAAAATATCTCAAGATAGCTGTGGGGATGATGGGTGGGTGGGTTGGTTGTTTTTTTTTTTTTTAATCCAAACACCTTCTGATCTGTTGACCCAGACTGCACCTGATGGAGAAATGTGTGTCCCACTGTGAGGTTTTTGCTGCTGCTGCTTGATGTTCACAAAGAATTTCGCCTAAAGTCTGTTAATTTCTAGTTCCTCATGCTCTCATTGCTCAGTTTTCTGTTTTACATGTTACTGCAAGTAGCGCGTGTTTCACTGAAGTTGTAAGGAATGTGGTTTAATGTCAATGTGAGAATGAGCTGGCAGGGTTTTCTCTTTATGCTTCAATTACTTTCCCTCCTGAAATAACCCTGAGATCTCCGTCTTCTGCTATATTGTTTTCTTACTTTTCTTTGCTATATGTTGTGGAAAGGGCCTGGGCAGTGTAGCAAGCTGTTTGGAGCTTCTCTACACGTTTGCAGCCAAGGAGGGATGCTGAATTAAAATTACTCCAAATTTAGCTTGAAGTTTTAAAACTGGTTCCATTTGGAAGGGGAACTTTTAGTGCAAGGGTGCTTTGGGAGGAGTGGGGAACAAGGGTTGTAGAAATGTGTTGTAGAAAAGCAGCAGGGTAAAGGAAAGTGGTTGTTGAAAAGCAGCAGGGTAAAGGAAAGGGGTTCTGTTGGTCTTTAGGCTCTAGTTATGTATTTTTATAACTTCTTGGTGTTTTTGTTATTTGCTATGAGCCATCATTTAATAGCAGGGGAAAATCTTTCAAACTAACATTTCTTTGTTTAGTTTGTTTGTCCTCTCTGGAGAGCTCTCTCCCTGTATGACAAAGCTCTGATGTTCTGAAGTTGGCTCCCCTAAGGCTCAGCTTTATTGAGAGAAGTGAAACATTTTAGGTGGTTCATTCATTCTTTCTGTGTCTCTTGTTATTTGAGCCCTTATGGTGTCCTTTGGTCATGTTTTTAAACTTATTTCTGCAACTAAGACTGCCAGGAGCTTTATTTAATAATAGTTGAGGTCTCATGTTCTAACTTTTTCTTTGTGAGCTGCCATTTTATCTCAAGCATCAAATACTGTGAGAGTAAATTAAAAGCAGCGTTGATGTCTTGTAATTTTGTGTTGAATGTTCTCTCTTTTACTGTGCAACTGAATATCCTTTTCTGAAGCTACAGGACTTGACTGAGACTACGGACAGCTCAGATTTTGTTTCAAGTGCAAATACCAAACCTTGATACTGCTGAATTCCTTGTTTGCAACCTTATTATGAAGTCCTAGATTTTTGTAGTCCGTTGGAACATTGTCCTCTCTCACAGTGTGGTAGGGTAAAATACTGAAAATGAAGCAGATCTTGCATCTGAAGTCTTGTGGATGAGAATACTTGGAAAATTATTCTCTATAAGTAGAAGCCCCAAATCACAGATCCTGCTGTGACTGTGCCCTGCTGAAAGGCCTGTCAGTTGCTCATTTAGCCCATTTGTTCCTCATTTAATGTTTAGGACAAAAGTGATTTTGACTTTCCCAAGGTAGGAAAGGGCCTAGAGGCCAAGGTAAACCTGTTCAACAAGTCTGTCTGTTGAATGAACTCAATTTAAATGGTAAAACTCTGTTCTTCTTACTTGGGGAATTATTTAAAGATACTGATTCATAGCGTTGGGAATACTGCTTCATTGGTTTTTAGTTGTTGTTTTTTTGGGGGAGTGGTGGTGTAAAAGAAGGCAGTGCTGTCTGACTCAAAGGCAAGAGGCCCAGCTGGATCACACGCAAATATGTTTCCTTCTCATTTTTGAAACTCAGCAGCTTTCATCTTCAGGTCGAAGGTCTTCTGAGCCCCTCCTTGATCTTTGCATTGTGGTTTCTTTGAGGTCAGGTCTCTCCTTCTTTCCCTCACTGAGATTCTTGCCACCGTTCAGGTTCTCACTTGCCTGCTTTTAATCAGCTTTAGGATCCAGAGCTATTTCATACTGGTTCCTTTCCCAGCTATTTTTGTCCATGTTGGTAGTTGATGCTGTTGCAGATGGGAATGACTATAGTACTGGACAGTTAAACTCTCTCTCTAATAAACTAGGCAAGGTTATGCCACAACCACTTTAATTGGCAGTGCAACCAGTAGATTAATCTGTTGGCTAATTTTTTCTTTCTTTAGGTGGGTTAAATGCCAACTTCATGCTGGGTCTCACGTACAACATATTTGTTCCTGTTTTCCTCTCCTGCTGCTGTTTCACTGCAGAGTGCTGCAGGCTAATAGTATCTGACGGGGCTACTTCCTATTGCCTGAAAAATGTTTAATTTTACTACTTGCTTTCTCTCTTTCCCACTTTCTCTCATTTTGATCTCTCAAATCCAGTCCCTTTGAGAAATCAGACAGTATGAAATATGAAAATTGCTTGGGTAGTAATTGGAGAAACGGTGAGACTTATGAAACCCATGGAGATAACGCTTACATCTACTTATTCACATTATTTAATTTTTAATGGCAAATTTAATTAATGAAGCGCAGGTCTTGTGGTTTCATGTGTGAATAAGCAACAGCAGGGAGCTGAAAGTCATGAGGTCTGTTTACAGGACAGAGAAAAAGGCTCCATTAAAAGCTGAGCTTTTCATTATAGGAAGGAAAAACGGGTTTAATAGCATAGAAGTTTGACCATTATGTAACAAGTGAATGAAAACTTTAATGACAATTTGCTGGAAAAATTCATTTTGAAGTGGTTACTCATCCATGATTTCTCAGTTTAAGTCTGTCTCCTAGGTCAAAGTTTGGAAAAGCAAAGTCTGTTCTGTGGGTTTTTCGGTATGTGACATAAATTCAGGCACCAGAGATAAAATACTTAAATATAGGACCTTGAAACCTAGGCTCTGAAAACCGGTATAAACCTCCCAATTAGCTAAGCCTCACACAACTGCAGTGATACAGGCAGCTGTTATCCCTTGCTTGCAGATGGAAAATGGTGACTTGCCCAAGATTGCACAAGTGGCAGAACCGCTAATAGAACTGGAGTTATATCTGTCCTTTCCTTTTTCTAACCACTGAACAATATGTGTCGTCTCATCATGCGCAGGACCACAGCTGCATTTATGGGAAAATAAATGGAAGAAGAGCAAGAATAGTATTCTGTATAAAATGACCAAATTTGGGGAGAGATGAGATAGCAGCTAGAACCGGCCCTAAATGAATAGCTGTCCTCGCTTTCAATACCATTTTGTCACTTTTTTGATTGATTATTGCATATTTTGTGTATGTGCCTTTTCAGACTGAGGGCCTTGCAGATGAGTTTTGAGTGAGCAATTGCAGCTATTTCAGTGTAAAGTCCAGAGGCTTCGCCTGAAGCAGCTTTATCAGCAGTTTGGTAACACAAGACCTTGCAGCGAAGTCGCTGGGGGTGTGCAGCCATTCCCTTCTGCTGTTTGTGCTTGGGAGGCTTGTAAGGAGGAGTCCATCGTCCTCCATGTTCAGTAGCTGAGTGGTTGTGAGCTAAAACTCTTTCTGTGCAAGCTCAGGAGAATTTAATGCAAACCTCTTAAGCCCTGCAGCAAGACACTCCAGACTCTGGCAGTGCCTTAACGGATACCTGATATGCCTCCCTATGTTGTTACAAGGGAAACAGGCTGCATAATTTTCTTTTAAAGAATAAGTAACATAAGTAGAAGCGCTGAAATGTAAAATGGATTTTCCAGTGCTAGCAGCCAATTTTGATACTTGCACGTCAGTAACTTACAAGATCCTTCACAGCAATTAGTGAAAATAGAACAAAACACAGCCTAACTGAAAATCACTCGGTGCTGGAAGCACCTTGTTTATGTGGTTACATGGAATAATCAAAGCTGAGGGTTGGTTGTTAGCGACCTTGTTCCCCCTCTTTCCTCGCACAAAGGTGAAGCGCAGAATGGAGGACGTTGTGGCCTTAATGCATCTTGCCGAAAATAAAATAAAATTTCAAGCATTTTTTTTTTTGTGTTCTTTGAACTGAATATGCTGTTTGTTGTTGGAAATCTTTATTAATTATAGAAGATAACTGTGTGAAGGGATAAGATCTGAGATGCCTTTAATTTTTAGAGCTGAGCATTATCTTCTTTGTTTCAGAATGCAGAGATCTACAAGCTGACATCCGAGCAGTACCAGGAGGCAGCCACCAAGGCAGAGGAGTGGATAAAGTGAGGAGCCTTTTTTGTTCTTTTCAGCAGTTCCAGCTGCATTTCGTAATGCTCTATGTGTAGCCTCTGGATATTACCTTAAAGAGAGAGTGAAGTTGCCTTTTGTCAGGTATTTAGGGGGCTGTGGAGCTGTAAGCCAGAATCCTCTCTTTCTGTGCCAAGCTTCTCAGAGTTTAGCATAAAGTTGTTAGATCTTGCGAGGGAGAATGATGGAGAAGGCATGGACTTAGTAAATTCACATTAAATGGGAATATTTACTAGGGTTTTCAAATGGCAAATGAATATGTTGAATCTGTTCAAAGTTTGACCCAATGTATTTAACCTACACATTGCAGCACTGGGCGAGTGCATGGGAGTAGGAAGAAGGGCACCACTGCTGGAGTTTTCTTTGTCCAGGGTAGAAAAAGGTAAACAGTCTAAATCTTGGCCCTTTAAATTTCAATCAAAATAGAGTTGTAATTATCATGAATGTTTTCTTAGAATGGGTGCAGTGATTTTTCTGACCTCTTTATTGGCCTTGACGCAATTAACAGACCTTTAATGTTGTCTTTTTACTATGAGCATATTTAGTATCTAAATTCCATTTGTATTTGCCAGTAGTGTTATATAGCTTATTGTTCCACATGCACTAACAGCTGTCCGAGAAAAAATATTTTCTATGATTCTTTAATATTAATGAGTCCAAAGCAATTACACTGTCAAGAGCAGCACTCAGATCTCAGTTGGGTAAACAGTTGGCCAACATGCAGTAAACTGGAGTAGCAACATATGTAGTCCAGTTGGGTCCAGTCCAGACTGTATGATACTTAATCACATAAATAGATAATATAGCAGTGATGAATATGTTAGTGGGGTGTGCAGTATATTGTGCTTTCTTTATTTAAAAGTATGTTTGGCTGCCAAAGCATCACATAACCTGTTGTAATTTCACATTTTTGTTTGGACAGTCAAGCAGTAAGTTGCTAAAGAAGCCAAAACAAGGCAGCTAACACATTGCGTGCATTTTCATGCAGTTTTCCATAGCAGAATTCTAAATTCTGTTTTTAAATAAAATTCAAAAAATTCATAGGACAGGAAGTTCTGACAGTCTTTGATTCAGTCATTTCTTGGATTTGCTTTTGCAGATGTGCAATCAGTTGTTGGGAAAGCAAGTAACAATGTAGAGGAAGAGATTGAGACCTTGGCTGATGTTCTTTACTTGCTGTTACAGACTGTAACTAACCTATTTTTTTATAGTAGTCTTAAGTTTGGTTCCTGAGGTTTCAGTTTTGTGTGGTCACTTCTGTTTCTTGTGGAGATAATGACTGGCAATGTAGGAAACTCTGGTACTGCAGCCATTCCTCTGAAAGGTTAGTGGCTGAGAGCAACGCAAATGCTGATGACTTCTTGCTTTCAGGATTCAGAAAATGTGTTTATGGTCTCTTAGGCATTCCTTCTGCTTTTCTTTGAGCCTTTATCATCTACCAGTCCCTGGCTTCTGGCCTTACTGTACAATGCTCTTCTATTTGAAGGCCGTATGTACTAGAGGGACAGATTCCTTAGGCTGTCTTCCTGCAGCTGAAAGGACCACATGCCTTAATGAGAATTTTATGTGAAAAGAGAACATGGCTGGGGGGTGTCTTGAGAAGTGACAAGGTGTGGCACTAGTGAAACTGAGGGAGAAAGTGAACATCATACTTTCTATTTCTTTACAGTAGAAATTGCCGGCAATAGCCAGGATTGCACTGAGCTGCATGCTGGATGCCGTTTGATAATTGTACATGCAGAAAGAATCATTGCTTTGTCCCATCGGCCTCTCTTACAGCAGTATGCAGTGATGGTTTTTGGGATTGTTCCCTTGGTGTACAACACGCTGTACAAACACTGTTGGAGTGCACGTGCCTCAAGTGAGGGTCACAATAAGGCTGGGACGTGGTCAGAGGAGCTTCCTTCGTACATTGGCACTCATACTTAATTGGTAGGACTTGAAGTCTGCGTGTTGTGAGGTGCTCTTGTTAGGATTTGTACATTCAAGTCTTTCTACAGCCTGTTTATGGTAATAAATCAGAAGATCCTGTGAATTCAGTGGAAAGAATATTTTGCTCATCCTGTTTTGCACTTTCATATTGGACATACAAGCACAGTAAGTGCTAAGATAGGTAAGACTGATTTGTGCAGATCTAGCAGCCTGATTGGCAGGAATAAACCGACACTCTGGCAAAATTACATGAACTGGAATGTAGCCAAAGTATGAAAGAAGCACAGATCTGCCTGTTTCCAGTGCTGGACTATGACAGCTCTTGTAATGAAAGGGAACCAGGAGTGGCACTTTCTCCATCTGCAGAGGAAAGTGCATCTCCTTCCTGTAGTGTCTCTTCCCTAGCTTACATCATCCCTGTTCCACTGTGAACTATTTGACCTGCCCCTGGCACTTGTGCCAATCTGCCCTATATTTGGTGTTTTTTGCCATTGTATATCAGCATAGCTGATGGAGGAAGAGGGGAATAGAGCTGGGGTTGTTTCCACAGTGAGTACGTTGTCTTTCGGAGTCCATGTTGAAGCAAAGACAAGAAATATCTGAAACAAAACTCCCAGTGTTTTCTTGGCATTTATTGACTTTTGTAATTACATTATCAACGCCTACAGCTCTGCACAAGTGGTCAAGTGTTCCATAGACTATTTCCTCCTCTTAGTGATTGACAAGCATTGCAGGATTTAGGAATATTGTACAAGCTGTCCACCAGTGTCCCTTCACAGCATGCCTGCGAGGTAGGCAGGTAAACCTTCCTATCTCCCTTTGTATAGAAGCAGAAGTGAAGTACTTAGTGCTGACCTTCATGTTAAACCACTGACATAGTCATTAGCTCTTGGTTTCTACTTCAAGGCAGGACGCTAGGCTTGATGCCTGCATGGCCTGACTTGTGCAGTGGGCTTTGTTCCTCATCTCTTCACATGAATCCAGCCTGCTCCTGTCTCTGCCTTTCTCCTACCACAGTGTCTCCTTCTCCTTTGTTCTGGGCTCTGTCCAACCTGTTTCGTTCTCCTACGGAGAAGATCCTAGCAACAAGGAAGCACTGCGGACAGCTTTCAGCACCTTAAGCAACTTGCCCTTGTTGCTTACGTGCTGTGGTGAATTGGACAGTTGCCACGGACATGTTGTCTCAACAATGTCATTATAATTGGTGCAGTATTATTTTTCTCTTTTATTAACAAACAGAATTATAGTCGGGGGACCTAGAACTTTTTTCCCCTCTTCCTTCCCTGTTTAGCGAATTGTGCACATCAGTAACCACCCACAAAGGAAGCAGCGTGTAAATAAAAAGCCAGTGCTCCCCGCCCTGCACTTCGTTCCACATCCTTTTCTCAGTGTTCAGAGAGCCATGACTCAGGCTAGGTTTAGAGAAGACAACTTGCTAATCCCCTCCCCGCTACAGAGAATAAAATGGCATTTCATTCCAAGCTCTGTTAATGCGCTCGCTCCAGGGATAAAGCAGCACTCCCAAAAGGCAGTGGCCAAATTTTTTTTTCTGTTGCGTTGTCTTTGTCTTCTTTTGAGTGTTACATTTAGATTAGCTTCTGAGGATTAAATGTTATTACAGTCCCTGAATCTGTTAAGGGGAAAGAAAAAAACATCAGTAAAGAGGTTATGGCTTAGTGCAGGCACTCTAGATTTATCCTCAAAATGCTGGGTTTTTTAAAATTTGATTTATTTTCTTTTGTGAAGGTTGTCTTATCACGTTTTTATTTTTGTATTTGTTAAATTTGGATGCAAGAATTGGCATGGGTGTGGGGGTGTGACTCTCTCTAAAAGGTAAAGCTGCAGGAGTGGGGTGAGGGGATTAGGAAGCTGTTAAAAGATAAAATTGTTCTGAAGCTGAGTTTCCCTCTGAAATCTCCTTATGGTTTGCAGAACTGTTTCTGAAGCTGCTTACCGATGGCTGCGTTGCTTTCAGTGTTGTGCTGAGGACTGCATATGCTGTGTGCTGTTATCAAGGAGTGCATAAAGAGTGTCGGTACCTTATCCTGATAGAGATCAGCCTTGAATCCAAGGCAGCTTTCCAATGGAGAAACTGCCAAAGTGATTTACTCCATATGGGACTTAGGATCTAAGAGTTGCATCTAATGGTCCCAAGATCTTCAAACTTAATGGAAAGGAGTATTTAAGGTGATTATGTTTGAGAAACTGGCACGTAGTCAGTATCCTCCAGGGCTGAATGTGGAGTAGAAAACCACACCGACTCCGTGGGGTCAGGGGGACAAAGCTCGCAGATGGACTGTCTGTTAGGAACAAGGAATTTATGGCTTGTTTTCAGTACTTATGGAAATGAAGGTTTTACTGTATTGCACAAAATTTTATGAGGCTGATGGCCTGTCATTTAAAATGGCAACACTAACTGGGACCTAGAGGAACTGCCTTTTTCTATTTTTTTCTTCTTTTTTGCTTTGTTTGTGTAGATCTGGAAAGTTTGTTAGGTAGTTATGTAGTGATACTTGAGTTTATTAATCTGAAATCTACTATGAGGCCTCCAGTATTTCAATATAGGGCTGTGCCCAGGAGTCAAGCTCTGAAATAGTTATGTGGACAGTCATGAAGCCCAAGGAGAAGAACGGTAAAGACATCAAAGTATTCAAACAAAATTGCTCTGGGATTTCTCCTATCATTAGATTAGATAAATGATTAATTCAGTGTTGAAATTAAGAGCCTCTGCAATAGGGATTTAAGAGTTTTCAGAAATAAAAGACTGATTACTGCTGGGAGCTCATCCCCAGCCTTATCTCAACGTAGTGCTTTTGTGCCCTGCAATGAAGATACCTTCACAAAAAACGGTTTGGCTCCATCTCAGTCCTGTTCTTCCCACAGTGCTTGGTTTGTGTTAGTTGTTCCTATGTCTGTCTGCGCTGAGTCTGTTTCATGTAATCTTTAAATAAAGACAGGAGTTATTAGTCAAAGCTTTGCAGTTTCTCATGTTTAAGAAGTTGCTCTTAGTAGGAAATTGGAATATTGCTGTAAGAGACTATAA